ATTCAGAGATGGCTTTCCTGAAATGCAGCTCTTTAAAATGTTGCTGCGAAAATAAATTAGTAATATTTATCACAGATATCTCGTATACATATTTGTATTTGTATATTTATATTATATACTTACATCATACACGATTCTACTACCGGTAATAATTCCGCTGAGCACTGAATGCTAAAAACATTGGCAACAGTCTGCAAATATTTCTGTAATCTCCACTTCTGTCTCTCCATTTTGCACTCGTTCTGTAGCTTTTCTGAACTTTTTTCGTTTCCTGTCTGAGAAGAACTTCCCAAGGCCCTATAAAGTGATAGCTTATTTGCAGAAAATTAACGATTCCTAGTTGAAGTTTGGAGTTCACACCTTGTACAACTTCATCGTGCCAACTACATTAGCCATTCTTCCACACATTGTTATGAGTACAATCAAAAGTGGGCTTGCTTCAATTTGCAGCTCTTTTTCTTCTTCCGTTTTAATCGGTGAGATCCCTAAATCAAGACCATACAGAGGATCATAGACATTGTTGAATGTATTTTCAGTAGTGGCTAACCAAGAAACATTCATTAATGATCTCGGGAGAAAGTTCAATCTCGACATTCTCCCTAGATCTCTGCTATATACTTGCTTCTATTAATCTTAGCAAAATTTTGACTTGCTATTGCTCCATTGTGTAATCTGGTACTCATCTTTCAACTAGCTCACATGTAATCTCCACAGCAATACCGTTACATACTCCAGCCAATGGAGTTTAAACAAAGAGCATGTGTCTGAGCATATCAGTACCATGTTCTTTTAATTTCTCTTGGATGAGAGCCTCAATATTGCCTTTATCGAAATGGGCTTTTAGAAGAAGCAGTCCGGCTCCGATGATGTTGAGTCCTATTCCGTAGGCGATCAACTCCCAGCAACCTGAACAATTTTATGGAAAATGATTTCAGTGTTCCACATTTAAGACAAAAAATTCTTATGGATTAAGTTTTCTGAAACTATTTGGAAAAATAAGTTTAAAAAAATATTTTTAATTTTACAGCGTGCAACAAAACACACAATAGCAGAATTCTAACTGTCAACACTCTGATATGATATAAAAAGGTAAAATGAAATGCTTAAAGATCATTATATTGCAAGATTAAATACAGAAGCTAATAACTTTT